TGCCAACAACAACAACAACAACAAGAACGAAAATAAAGCAAGAAGACAGCAACAACAAGAACTTTCACCATTGTTCCAGGCAGTGGCACTGTCAATGCTACAACCGCATTTAGTGTGGGCATACCAGAAATGGGCATGAATCTCAACTAGCACTAGGCGAGACCATTAATTTTAAGGATTTCCTAATATTATTTTTCTTCTACATCAATGTTAGGGATATATCGATATTATGTGAGTGTGTGTGTGAGTGTTTTTGTGTATTGTATGACGGCAATAGCTCTCAAGTATTCGAAAGTGTGTACAAGGGAAAATTTGATTGAAAGCACTTTTTGTCTTTCCGGAGACAATAGGCAAGGGTCACATTACCGAATAATTTGTTATTTCTACGACTTCTCCATAACAGAGGCAGCCTTGTGTTTGGCTGAATTTCTGTTCTCGGTGTCTTCAACAGGATATTATTATTTCTGTTTGAGTTGTTGCTTTTTGTGCTTACATTTCACTTTTGTTGTTGTTTTTTTGTTATTCTCCTTGGTGAGAGAAAGGTACACCAAAGTGGGAAAGAGGAACAGCCAACACGTAGAAGGAAATAAATAAATAAAACAAATAAATAATGATACAGATGGCCTATGAATTGATAGAATTTATAGCAAATTTGTTGTCAAGGGCGTAGCTAGCATTAGGGGGATGACACAATTACCTCTGTTAATTTAATAGTAATAAGTGTATTTCCATTGGATTTGACAATATTAAGGAATAATTTCTACTGATTTTATAATTTAGACTCAAATTCATTTTGGTCATGATCATATTTAGCTTTTTGACTAAAATATTTAAATTTTTTGTAGTTTTGGCGGGTTATCATTTTATATTTATATTTTTATAAATATTTTTTTTCTTTTCCTTTTTTGTCCTGCAAACATATAGCTTTAGTGTCATGAAGGGTGTAAAAAACGACAGCCAATACCACAGCTTATAAGCATTTTTTATTTTTAGTCACATTAAAGATTAAAATCTTTTTCGTTTGCAACATTTAACTAAAGCATGTTCGATGTCAAACCGCAATAATTTGCGTTAAGAAATTTTCGCTTTATATCAATTTAACACGAAAACCCACTCTGAATAACATTTTTAATATTTCATAGCCGATGTTGTTGTTCTACAACTAATGGATACATGTGTAAGTAAGCTGTGAAAACATGTTCATACATATTTTGTATTAGGGTGTTGCGAAATTATTGACACCTGATTTTCGTGGGTGTATGTTGATGTTACTTCTTTTGTAAATAATACAATTTTATGGATATAAACATGGGTTTGGTTATATATGTATGGTATTTGGGACATCCAATGAATACAATCCTTAGGAAAATGTTAACGTGTAATTTCTAAGCTATACTTTAATATTTAGAATGCCGTTGGTCACTCTGAGGCAATTTGGAGGCGATATAAAAATGTTTGTCTGGTTTTTGCTCAATATAATGGAGAAATTCATATGATTCAAAAGCAATATTTCTTCTAAACATATATGAAGTTCGATAATCGATAATTTTGATCCAATCCTCCAGAAAACTTCCACAAAATAATAAAAAATAACAGATTTGTAATATCGTGCCCACGCCTGCCTGCAAATGTTCATAAAAACGTACACGGTAATAGAATATGCGATTTGGCACAAATTTTGACATAACATAGACTTTGGTCAAAGACGAAATATTAGTGTTCATTTGGAATATTTTTAACATTTTTCCAAATTTAGAAATCTCAGTACCCAAATTTTTTTTAAGCCTTGTACGGTTTTTTTAAGGATATACGGTATAGCCAAATAATAGGTTCCCAATCATAATACCAAAAATTGGTCGGGATATTTATATGAAAGCTAAGCCACTGACTTTTATTTTTTTGCAAAAATGTTATTACGTTGACAATTCTATCCAATCAAAACTTGGAATGCTAAGTTACACGCACTTCAACGAGTAGAATTTAATGTAACCTTATATGGAGGCTAGTCGAAATATGGACCTATATTAAAAATTGTAAAAAAGTTTGTTTTTACCAACTAAGAATCCGCAATGCCAAATTATAGCCACAACGGTAAGAAAATATGACTAGGACCATTAATATAACTAAAATAGGGACCTATATTGACAGTTTTCTGCAAAGATTTTGTATACATATTATCTTTAATCTCACAACGGGCCATGAGCCCTGAATACCAAATTTCGGCCAATTCAGTTGAAAAATGCGGCTAAAACCTCAACAAAATAATAATAAATAAATGATATGGAGCTGTGTTCGTATATGGGGCTATACAACAACGTATATGGGGCTATACCAACGAATATAAAATATTGATTGCAAAATTTGTACAATGTTTTAAAAAAATTTGGTGATTTTATATATTATCAGTAAATATCAGCATGTGGTCGATTTGAATTCAATATTGTTCTCTTGGGGCCTATATATGTTCAAAAACGCTCAATAGGATCAAAAATTTATTACGTCTCCTCATGGTGCACTATGTCGCGAGTTCATATAAACAGCGGCCAAAAATAGAAGGAGTTATCGTAAGAACACACATTATTGGCCTTAAGATATATATATATATATATAAGATTTGGTATACCTCCCATATAATGGGTCTTAAGAATGTCACACTTTTTGGCCTATAAAATCTTTAATATTCAAACAAATTCAATGAAAATTTGCAATTTACATTTAATTAGGCCTATAAAGCAACTGACCAAAAACTGGGTAGATCGGACCAAGATTTGATATACCTCCCATACAAAGGGTCTTGAAAATTTTACTACTTTGGGCTATAAAATCTTTAATATTCAACCAAATTCAATGAAAATTGGCAATTTACATTTACTTATGCCTATAAAGTAACGGACCAAAAACTGGGTAGACCGGACCAAGATTTGATATACCTCCCAAACAAAGGGTCTTGAAAAATCCGATTTTTTGACCTAAAAATTTTTTTATATTCATCCAAATTCCACGAAAATTTTCATATTTTCATATTACTGTCTTCAAAATTTGATGTAATTTGTACTGCACTTTGTAATGTTTCAGGTCCTACCACACAAAAAGTCCCTAAAAATTTAACTTTCTGTACTATAAAATCGTTATATGCAGCTAAATTAAGTATAGTAGTTTTAGTTTTGTTATTTTTATTATAATATAAAATATAAACTAAAATAAACTAATAAATTACTTTTTTATAATTCACAGCATTTTCAAAACACACATCAGATATATATATATATATATATATATATATATAAAATTGTCTTCCCAAATGTACGATTTAGTATCATTCACATTATAATCTCGGGCCTTTACTTTATGGCTGTTTAAGGATATTACAAGGTCGGATTGTAATATAAAATAATAAATAAAATCCTTATTTAACTCGGCTTTAACAAAAGTTCGGGCTGGTACTAATTATTTGTTTGCATGACTTGTTAGCATCTTGTGAAGTCGCTCAAAAGGTATTGTACTGCACTTTGCGTATCCCATGTCATGAACTAATATTTTTCTGTATGAACCTTCCACAAAGGTAATTCATGTGCAACCTCTAAATTAAGATTATAAGATTATGTCTCAAATGATCTGATAAATAAGTATAAGTTGATCCTCAATAACTTATTTAATTGTATACATAACATATTTGACCATTCGCTTCTAACCATTTCGTGAATATGCCATAGTTTTTCATAAGGTGGTCACCAAAAAAGTTAAATAACTCTTAGGACCGCAGGACTCCGCAGCTAATTTTTTTTATTCCTTAAATAACATACTTTTGACCACTCAAATAAAAAAAAATTAGAGCTAACCTTTTTTAAACTTTTTTTCTGCTCCACTAATTTCAAAATTTGTTTTACAAATTTGATGAACTAAGTACTACAAGTGTGGACGACTGTATACACCATATGATATCTATATACATACAAACTAAAGCGAATCCTAGTTTTTACATCCACAGCAACCAAAATAAACACTTTTATAATAACCGTTAATTTGAATATTCAAATATTTGAGCATCAGAAAAACACACCAATTTTTCGAAAATATCGTAAAAAATCAGTTTATAAATAATTATCAGATTTGAACCTTTGTAGAGACAAAACTACTCGACATATCGATGTAATATTTCATATTTATTCTAATTGGAGTATTTTCTATCAATCCTCATCAAAAAATTTGTCCTCCGTGGTACTTGGTTTTGACCATTTTTGGCCGCGGTCGTGACACTGTGTGGTGTGTGGTATAAATGAATTACTAATTTCGTTTTACTAACGACACTGTATTAATAACTTTTTTAAATTTAATTTAATAATACATAATAAATATTAGTTTTCCATACTATTATTAGTATTTTAGCATAATTTTGATGCTTCTATAATCAAACCTAAGCCTGTAAATTTTTTTAAAACATTTCACCTCAACCTTCACTACATACTATTCATGCCCAAGGTTATTCTAAATATTCCTAAACAAAGGAACACTGCCAAGAATGTCCTTAACTGGACTGGACATTGAAGCATCTCTTTTGTTTTACTTAACTACGCTCGTGTCACTTTCCTTTGTGTAGACTACTCGTCATTATCGTCAGCATCATTCTCATCGAATGTGTCATTTTATAATCAATCACTTTGGCATTTCTACTTTGGCTCTGTCCTTTTCTCCGCCTCATCCATACCATTCATCAAGTTATTTTTTTTTTCTCTACCGACCATGCTGGTTTAGCTGCTTGCCATTGTCTTTGTGCAGACACATTGACACACTACTAATGGCCAAGGACCAAATGATATTTGAGAAAACCCTTAATAAATTGGTTAAAAGCTTTAAGGGGAAAAGATACCCCCACCACACCTCCAACATAATCGAATAGGAACAACACTAAGGAAACTGTTATTGATGTTGATGGAATATAAAATTCCGATGGGCAAACAAGAAAGCCAAAAAAATGAACAAGCAGAGTAATCTGTACTTACGCATAAGTTTCATCACTTCTTTGTGGCTTATAAACACGTTAAGATAACCACTTGACAACAGGGGATACCAGGCAACCATTAGGCCCCAATACAATAACCAAATTTTGGCCATTTGTTATGTTGTTGCTTAGATGGAAAGCTCTCCTAGCCGAATAGCTTCACAATTAATAGACGACGAAGATGATGATATTAAAGGACCGATGACAAGGATAAGCTGGTGGCAGTGACAGTAGTGGAGAAGGCGCTCTATTTCGAGCAGATGATGATGTGAAGTTCGCTTGTTTGTCTTTTGGTTAAAAGTCGGCTGCTATGGTGCTACTGCTTCGTTGTTGATGAATTCGTTGGTAAAATTTAAAAAATCATTAAAAGCATTTAAATTGACAATTTTTCTTTGAGCTGTTGTTTGCTATTGCCTCAGTGCCAGCACCAGCCAGTCAGTCACTCAGTCAGTCAGTGACCAGGAAAAAGGAAAGGCAAGGCAATGTGTTTTTATGTTGCGTTGTCTCGGCTTCGTTTTAAATTTAAATTTGTTGCTGTCGTTGCATGTATGGTTGTGTGGCAGTTGTGCTGTTGTTGTTGTTTGTTTTGTTGAAGGATTGTTTTTCTTGTTGTTGTGGTGCAATGTTGTTTTTTCGCCTTTGCCACATTAAATTCAGACCAGTCAACAATTTAGAGTGACAGCATTTGTTTCCCTTTTCCGGTGCAGCATCCAGCACCCAGTTACACGAGGACGAATGACAGGATCAGGCCTTTAGTTAGAGTTTGAGTTGTAGGAGATTAAAAAACCGGGAGGTGTTTGGAGCCAAGTGACGAGGGAAATTGGTAGCTGGGTTCTTTGGTTAGTGGTTGGACGTGTAGAAAGTGCGGGTGTAAGCATATGTTGTCTCGCCTGTCACGTGGTTGTTGCTTTGATAATACTCCTCTAAATATATGCTGAATTCTGTATGCTGTACGTTGTGTGTTGAACGCTGACAATGCCAACAACAACAACGATGGCGATGGCAACGGCAACGGCGACGACGATGATGACAAGTATGTGATGTTGCTGGCTCTTTGGTGCCTGTTGGTATTGCTGGTGATGTTTCTGATGATTTGGTTGCTTGGAGACCATCACCATGCTTGTAACATGTTCATGTTTCTCTGATGTTGCTCTAGCTTATGTACTTTTTATTGTTGTTATTGCTGCTGCTGTGATGGTGGTGGCAGTTTGTCTGTCGGAATATCTGCCTGACTGCGACTCTGTGACTTGACTTTAGCATATCAGCATGCTTTCACTCAAAAATATGCACGTTTTTTGTCATCTGCACTGCCTTGTCCCACTACGTCCATGTACTATATATGTATGTGTATGTCTTGTTGTTGTTGCTGCTGCTGTTAAGAGTATGTTTACAGAGGATGAATCCCAATTGTTGGTTAAGTGACAATGTATGGGACGCTAGCTGTTCAGTTGTCGGTATTTTTGTTTCAACTTTTACCAACCAACTCTTGGATATGGTTTGGATTGGGCGGACAGGCTTTAGATCCAGTGCTGTTATTCTATTTTTTACAGTTGCTGCTGCTGTTTCTACCCCTTTTCCTGGTGCGGCTTGTCATTTGCCGTTCAAAAGCCAACCAAAGAGTCACGAAGAGAGAGAAGAAGAGCTGAAAAAAGAAAAGCAAAAGAAAAAAGTTAAATATAAAATTTCAACATTTGGCATAAAGTAAAGACTAAACGAAAAATTTTCTATTGAAAAGTCAAACTGAGTTTGAACAGAGTTATTCACTCACTCACATTCGCTGTCATGGAGTTAGTAGAAAGTCCAATAAGGATTCTTCAATACATATATGTGCAAAAATAGCACACACATACATTTAAACTAAAGATGGTTGGGTTGTAGTAGTTGGTTGCTTGGGTGATTGAATGATTGTATTTGACTTTAGGTTGCACAGTGGGTGGTAGATAGAGAGAGAGAGATCGATGTTTTTAACTTTTAAAATTTGTATTTGCGATGATAATGAGACAATATCTATACACTTATGATTTCTATATAAAAATGTTGACCATATCTCTTTCAGATATTTTGAATTCGCACACTATATAGGTCCACAATACTGAGAGTTTGTTTGTCAAGAAAAATCTGGTTCATGAAAATTCCGAAGAAATAATCAGAAGATTTTCAAAACTGTAAGATCTGCTTAATAAACTTTCCATTGGAAAGTTTGACATTTTTGATCATAAAAAAACAAATCTAGTCAACAAATTAATTATTTCGATAAAATTTTGAGCGATCATTTTTCACAACTTCACCATATTAGTACATCGATGAACTTCAATATTTGAATGGCATTGAAACATTATCCTTAGAAAAAACCTGGTTTAATTTGTTTCATCGCAGCCAAAGAAGAAGGCCGTCCATCGTCATGTGACATACTGTGCCATAAACTTATTCTTGGACATTTCTTCCAACAGTATGCATTCGGTACCGACATTCAAACAGGATTGCTCTTGTTAGATCCTGCACAATTTGACAATTTTCAAAATATTCCGATGCGCATGAGTCCGCAACAAAACAGCGAAGGCCAGTTTGAAGAATAAATATCAAAAGATATTTTTATTCGAACAAAAATATACGAGTACAACTCATTACGTATTTTCGAAAGATATATTTAATTTTTAACCTGTTTTGCAAGAGATGACTGAGGCATGAATTCGCCACCCGGTAGACCTTATTTACTAGGCCATGACTGAAACGAAATATAACGAACTCTAATTAAGATCACTACCACTGTATTATGAACTTGCTCTCGCTTCAAACTCCGCTAACCTACAAAAAACCCAAGACTGATGAACTCCATCAACAAATGTTACTATCTGCAGTGTTTTGTTTTTTTTTATTCCTAAGTATGTCTGTGTATGTGCGTGCCTGTGTTTGTGACTGTCTCTGTTGGTCCCTATTGCCGTCTGATGGTTATTTGCTGTGAAAATGTTATGTTCCACAATAGAAAAACACCAAAGTTTTTACTAAACAATTTATAAATATTTTTATTGTAATTATTGTTGTTGTTGCTGCTGCTGCTGTTGTTACTGGTATTGCTTCTGTTGTTTGCTGATACTGGTCTTCTTTTGCTGGTTACTTGTTGTTGGTCTATGTATGTCTGGGTGTGTGTGTATTTATTTAAAGTTCTTCAAAAAGTAATTAAAAGTTCGTAAAGATTAACAGTCTCTGAGCGTACGTAGTTGTAGTAGTTGCGTGCGTAACTTGGTACTGCCAGTGGGTCAAAAGTTCTCAAACAGTTTTCCTCATTGCCATCGCCATAACCGTCACTACTTTTTTTCTATTGCTGTTGCTACAACTTTTGTCTGTCGCTACGACTCAGGTCTGTAGCATTTCGCATTTTCACGTTCAATGGTCGTTTTTTAACCAAAGTTTTTGCCGCAAATAAATTTAATTGAATTCTTTGTGTGTTGCCAACAAGCGCTGTGCTTAGCAGTGACCCCTTCTTCGAGGACGAGAGCAACAACAATAAAACAATTGCCCTAGGCCTGAAGCGTTGAATATCGTCGAACAAATTGTTGAGATGAGTGTTTAGGTTTTAATGACAGTGATGAGAAGAGCGATGCAACTTCGCAGTTAGTTGTGAAGCATGACATGGAATTTTGAACTTGGAAGTGTTAATTTTATTGCTGAAATTGTTCTGGCAAATTTCTGTAAGGGAAATCTTCATAATCATGTTTAAATATATTCCTCTGCCGTTTTTTGTTTTGTTTGTAATGCAAATATGTTTTTAAGAACCTATTTACCTTACTTGATTGATGGTTGATCGCCTAGCTTAAACAAAATAACAACGGACTATCCTTGTCTATTCTGCATATGCTGTCAGAAGCACCTGTATTTCAGTTTTTTGTTCATCCAAACAGGTTAATAAAAATAAAATGCTCGATGACTGGATCAATTCACATAATCATTCAAAATGCAAATTAATGGCCATGGATAGAAGTTATTTAAATTTAAATTGCTTATGCCGTCCGTCGCATACAACAACAACAGCAACAGGAGGGACAACAACAATAACATATTGCTCCTAAATAACATTCGTTTTGTTATTTTATAGAAATATTCATTTGCATTTTAAATGGCTAAATGAATTGATGGAGGAAAATTGCCTATCATGGACTTTTTTTTATGTGCAATCTAACTTTGCGATTGTTGTATGTTTTTTTCTCGAATGTTTTGTCGACCTTTTGTTGATAAAATATGAAATTATAATTTTTTTCAATATAATAAGACTAATAATAATGAGAAAAACCTGTAGATAGACAAATTAATCATAATAATAATTTTATTGATTATAAGATTATTTTGGAAGTGAAAATAATCCTTGAATCAGTCATTTGAAATATTGTCATATTTGGGGGTTGTTATTTATATTTGACAAATTAGAAAATGAAAGTTCGTAGTATTAAATATAAACGGATAAAAATATATATGGGACTTATATTTCTCTGAATAAAAATCGTGTCTTTCTGGCACCGGAATGTTTCAAACTCAATCTGACAAAAGTATATAAGAGTTATGTCTAAATGCGGAGAGTTGTGTCCTGTTCGAAATTTAACCAGTCAAATACACATTTTGTTATTGCAAAATAGACAGGCGTAATTCCAGTTTTTTTTTTTGTTTTATAAAAACAACTATGTATTTATGGGGAAAATATGGCAATATCCACCGGGTGAGGAGATTATGGTTTCCTAACAAAAGACTGATTATTTGGCAATAACAAAAAACAAAAATTTTATTCTAGTGCGGAGGTATCAGATGAAATCGTGGAATAATATAAATATTAAACTGTTCATATGAGATTTGATATTTTTCAAAATTGCTTCGTTTTGTGTGAAAGTTTCCAGAATAAGTTATTTGGTAAAGTTATTACGATTATGAGCGTTTGCATCAAATTAGACACTCCAAAAGTTTCATATTCATTTTATATTTGTTTTGAAATTTTGAACAACTTAACCCAGTCTTTCTTTGCCTTTTGTATACAATAAAAAACAACACAATTTTGCTCATTAAATGTTTCCTAATAAAGAAACAGTTCGACTTTCCCAATTAGATATGCAAAGTTGAATATATAATTTGCAATGAATATACTACAAATGTTACATTTTAATGGGGAACCTATAATAACAAT